AGCTACTTAAATATTGTGAGTGTGATTAAACTAATTAGACTTTAGATGACTACAAAATAGATGTCTGGAGATGACAGTCACAGTAGACCGACTTCCCTTATAGACCAGAAAAAAAAAAAAAAAAAGACACTTTTAGGTTATGGTTCATTTAGTTTGGTTTAGATATCTGCTTTAGAGTAAGAAGAATCATGCTCTCAACTCCGCTAACTATATTGATCATCTTTATTGACTATATAGGTAGACAAGGATGAAGACCTCAAACAGATTTAGTTATCAAAACTCACACAATGAAATTTATGTCCTCATTTTTAACCTGCAGGACAGATGAAAAAATAAAATCGTGAAATATATTCCTATATGACCTGTCCTATTAAAAGTATTTCTCCAAACGAGAGAATTATAGTCTCCTTATATGTACAAAAATATATATCAGAATATAATAATGGGCATCCAGAAAACATAGCTTTGCAACAAGAAATTTAAAGTTATGGGTCTTTCCTTGTTCATTTTCCAATTGCACAATGTTTCTGTCAAAATGGCATGATGAGTCAGAAGTAACCGAGAGCTGGCTAATAAAGACACTGAATATGTCTTTAATCATACCTCTCTATTTCATTGATACTCTGCTTCTTCCCAGTGGCAAGTCATGGCTTGGCAGCCTCACCCTCAGATACAAAGGAACTCTTCGAACACTTTTGTGGCATCATAAGGGTGATATATGTTTATGTGATAGCTCAAACATTAAAATGCTCATCAGCAGGGTGGGATATAATTTTTTCTCACCTTATTTTTGCAGCTTTTTTTTCTGTGGAAAAGAGTTGTGGGGCAGTGTCAGCATAGAGTCATTGTGAGGAAGAGTCAGACTAGAAGAGAAGGAAGACATGTATATGTATATATGTGTTTGACTCAGAAGTCTCATGATGAATTGCTCAGCTAAAGGGCTAGGATGAATTCCAGGCTTCTGGGATCATTACAGTGTTTCCCCATTAAATATAAACCCAATCCTTTGATCAAGGCCTATAACTTCATCTCTTAATGACAGAACTAACTACAAGGTTGTAGAGGCATGCTGCTTCCTTACTGCTGATTTAAAATCAAGACATCAGCTCAAGATCTGAATGATCTTAAGACAGATTAATTGTACTCTAAGCCAGTATACTGTTTCACAGGATATTGACAACATTTAGTGCAGACTTTGACTCCAGCTGAACTGAAGCCAGAAGTATGTCTCTGATATTTTTAGTAGTGCAACAGGAGGTACAAAGACTGCAACCAAACTGTATCAAGGTGTAGCAGGGGGAGCTCTGAAAGCTTGATTATCCAGTCCTCAACTAAGAGGCTTGCTGGACCCCATTGACACTCATTTCCTGATCCTATCAGGAGCATAAATTACTTTCTTAATCTGCACTTTCAATCCAGATGGTCTTTAAGGGCCACAAAACAAGTATATTTTTAAGTAGCTCATAATTGTGCATTTAATACGATGGTTCAAGTACATCAAAGGTGGCCACAGGGTTGAACCAAAAGACAAAAAAGTTTCTACAGTATTTTTGATGTCTAAAGCAATGTTTTCAGAGTATCAAGGGGGGTTTGCCAATTTATGTTTTCATAGAAGCAAAGAATTTTCTTAATGTTTCATCAAAATTTGAATGAATAAATAAAAGATCTAATCTGAAACAGTGTCTGCATATTTATCTGGTAACGATTTCTGTAATAAAGTTACTATAATAATTATAAAAGAAACAGTTTTTTTATTTTGATTTTTGTCTCATGTGCGGGCATGCAGGATATTTTATAGAAATTGCAGATTTCTTTGCAAATGCAAGAAGACTACCTTTTTCACAAAGACAAAGTGGAATATTTAGGCTGTATTTTGACTGAGGATTGTATAGTGGATCTTCATCCGCACTCTTGTTCTTGCACCCAATGCACCACACCCAAATTTCCAATAAAAATATTTAGGGCAAAAGCCTGGCGAGAGCTTAATCTACAAGAAAGACACTGGCGTGCTACAGTGTCCAAAGAAGGGCAACAAAGCAGATGAATGGTCTAGAGAAAAGTCCTATGAGGATCAGCTGAGGGAACTGGAGTGGTTTAACCTGGAGAAAGGAGGCTCAGGGGAGACGTTACTGCTCTCTAGAACTACCTAAAAGGAGGCTGTAGCAAGGTGGATGTCAGTCTCTTTTCCAAACGGATAGAAGAAATGGCCTCAAGTTGTCACAGAGAAGGTTTAGACTGGATGTTAGGAAATATTTCTTCACCAAAGGAATTGTGAAGCACTGGAACAGGCTGCCCAGGGAAGTGGTGGAGTCACCATTTCTGGAGGTATTTAAAAGATGTGGAGCTGTGGAGTTTATGGATATGGTTTAGTGGTGGACTTGGCAGTTCTGTGTTAAACTCAATGTTCTTAAAGATTTTTTCCAACCTAAATGATTCTGTGATTCTATGACTTGTTTTTCAGTCTGAATCTGAAGGATTAAGGAGGGAGAAAAAGGAAGGAAGCTGTACAAAAGTTGAGCACTCATTAACAGCCTGTTATAATATGGATGGATGTTATATTGTTGTGACTGCAAGGGTGTGTGCAGGATATGCACCGCTCTCAAGGGACTGAGAAGGGATTTAATCTAAAGTTTATACTACAATAGCTGAAGAAGTTTCTGCAAGTTCTCTGAGCGGAGTTTCATAGTGTCTCTTCTATCCAGATATCTAACATTAAAGGAATGGTCCTATGCCCTTTAAATAACCATCATTTGAGGTAAAATTCTAGCCCTTCTCTGGAAATTTAGTATTAACATAGCTTCTAAGGAAAGTAAAAAAAAAGAATGCCCCCTCCCACTTCTACTTCACTATGAGTCAGATTCTCCAGCAGGTAGCTGCAGAAGGAGTCTGTCATACCTTCTTACAAACTGCTGGAGAAAGCAAAGGAACTGTTTTGTATAGAAACACAAGAACGTTATTTATGCCATAGAGTTATATTGGTGTTATGTTGCTTTGTTACGTAAAAAAAAAGCAAGTCAGTGAAAGAGTGCTGACAACACAAAAAATATTAGAAAGAAATCACTAACTTGTTTAAAGTAGGAATATTTTAGTCTTACAGTATCTAAAATATCAACCATTAACTTTCCTTCAGCCAACTTCATAAAATACTGGCAGAACAGAGAATTACGGCTTACTTTATGTTAACTTTATAACCACCTAGGAACAAATACCTCAAACTGGCCCATAAAATATTAATGGAAATCAGCCACTAGGAAAAAAAAAAAAAAAAAAAAGATAAAATATATGAAAACAGGTCAAAGACAGAATTGCACATAAAAAGGAAGCTGGATACAGAGACACTTTAATCGGGGAAGGCGGTTTAAAAATACTGAGAGGAACTTGGGTAGTAATGCATTTTGTCACCTTCAATCAAATACAAAACTACCAAAGGCACAAACTGGAAAACTGTATCAACTCTTTTACCATTTGGTCTGTCACAACCTAACAAAGTCAAGACAATGCAACAGTAACCAAATACCAGTTTATATCCATAATTCATTAACATTTCATTGATCTACTTGGAATTTCATGGTGAAGGACTTTAAATCCAAGACTGGGTTATGATTATCTTGATGGTAAGACAAAAAAGAATGCTGCCAGTGTCTCTGGAATTTACTCTAACTCACACTTAGATAAATATTCATATACTATAGATGGCTAGAATGGATGAATTAACCCAGTAATTTGAAAAGTTGTTCCTCTGATTAGTCATCACAAACTGGGACATTAGAAAGAAAAGACCAAAAAGGATGTAACAAAATTGTCTATTCAGTGCAGTTCTTCTCAACACTCACGAGAAAGATTGTAAGTAATTTATTTTAATTTACTGGGAATAAAGTATAATCTAGAAAGCAGATTTTAGTGAGTCTCTTGTTTTACATTAGATGTGGGAAAAAAAGTTATTTTAGAAATAATCTGTAACACTTAATTGCAAATCCCTATTCTGCCAGATATTTAACTTTTTTTCTAATTATTAGTATTGCTCCTGAGAGGTCTATACAACCTGCAATCACTTCATTGTTCCATTACCTAAAAAGACATGAAAGAAACAAGTTCTGATTATTTCCTGTTAAAAGTTATGAAATATTTTACCAGAATATAATGAACCAAAGGGGGGATACTACCTAATAATCCTGATACATTTAAAAAAGGATTTGTTCAGGAAAATGAACCTGTAAGAAATTCTGTTTTGATAGCATGTCATAATAAAATTAGCTAAATTGCTCACTCTTTCTTTTTCTTTCTTTCTTTCTTTTTCTCAATAGCATTCAATTTTCCACTAAATTAAAGGGAGAAAATCGTATTAGGATTCTAATATTAGTTTTAAGTATTTGTAATCTGGTAATGTTCTCAAGCAGTTTAATTTGTAGGTCCTAATACCTTCCCTTTAAATCATATATGCTTAAAAATACTGATGCAGCATTTAATTTATACATATTAAAAGCATTCATTAAGTCAAGAAGGATGCTAATAAATCTCACCTTTGTGTGTGTGTGACCAAAGAATGTTCTATTGACTTCTACTTAATGTAATCAATCATATCTTCAAGAGATTCCATAGCATTCATTTTGGCATGCATAGCTGAATATTCAGGGATCACAAATCTCAAATTCATCTGTGGACAGCAATAACTTTTCTCTGAAGTGATGATATTAAAAAACCTGAAAAAGCCTTGAGCTGCTGATGTTAGATTTTATTGGAAGATAAACTACAACAAGCTGACTCCTGTGGAACAGAAGCTCAGATCAGCTGGGTCAGATCAAATCAAAAGGAAAGCAGTGTTAGAAGTCCTCACTGCCCACTGTTTTGCTTCAGAGACAGGTCCTTCATGTCACTCTTGCTTTCAGTACAGCAATATTTAGTGGTTTGCTGAGTCATGAACAGTTCTAAGCAGTGTGCTGCAGACCTCTGGTAACTCTCTGTATATCACCTCTTCATCTTTATATTGTGTTTCCTTCCAGTTCTTGGAATACACACTTGTATACAGACTTGGGAGTCCTCCCACTCCGTTTTACTCTCTCAGGAGAGGACTGTTGCTCCTCTGACTCCAAAGATCTGCGCATGGATCCAGTATGTGACAGCCAGCAGTGAGCAAGTAGGTGGCCTTTCTCCATACTGCTGAGCTCACCTTACAACAAAACACAATGTGTGATAAAAGAGGAAACACAACAAACAAAAGATGTTATATGTCACCCTTAATATGAGACAGCTTGCATGTCTATCAAGCCATTTCAGAGTGTGCACTGAATTTCTCATTAGTGGAAATGTTCTCCGCCTCCTGACAACATTATCTCTCTCCTCAAACCTGAAACTGAGCATTATAAATGCCATTTATAGAGAACCGATTAATGTGCTTGCTTTAAAGCTATTCTTAATGAAACACAAAATCCCATCATAACAGGATATGAAGTTAGAATAGATGATTCTTTCAACCTTTGTAACTTGGAAAACTAAATATTCTTAAAATCAGCTTTTAAAAAGCTCCAGCTTTTTAAAAAAGTTCAGCTTTTAAAAAGCTCCTTAATAATTTTAAAATATGAAAAGGTCACTTATGTTTCCTTAAGGAAATGAGAGCCTGATCAGATTATAGCAAATTACAAATAAACTTGAACTGCACTTTTACTTCAGTGAGATGTTAGGCTTGCAAGTCTGTTTTACCAAGGTATTGTCAGGGCCCTGGAGGCACCACCAGACCTGGTGTCCCCACCCTGCCTCTTGGGCCTCCTGCCATGCTGGCCACAGCTCAGGACCTCATTTTAGTTCCAGGGACACCCCCTGCAGGTGAATATCCCAGCTCAGCCTTGGCCCATCTCCAGGGAAGTGCCCAGTGCCAGGCAGGGGCTGGGGTGCCCTGGTGCTGCCCGGCTGCTCTGCCCCTGGTTGGAGCAGTGTGCCAGACCTTGGTTGGCAGTCCCTGCTCTGACAGGACCAGGGAGGCCCTGACACCTCTAGTGTCCAGGCAGCAGGGATCCATGGGCGCTTGCAGTGCCTTGACACTGGTAATGTGGTTGGGGTCACCAGTCAGACAACACCAAAGAAGTCAGAGCTCCTTTTGAGACAAACAAGTTGTAGTAACTTAGAATCACAGAATCATTTAGGTTGGAAAAGACCTTTAAGATCATCGAGTTCAACCATTAACCTGGCACTGCCAAGTCCACCTCTAAACCGTGTCCCTAAAGCCACGTCTACATGTAGTTCAAATACCTCCAGGAATGCTGACTCCACCACTTCCCTGGGCAGTGTGTTCACAACCATTTTGGTGAAGAAATTTTTCCTATCATCCAGTCTAAGCCTTCCCTGGTGAAACTTGAGGCCATTTTCTCTTGTCCATTCACTCGTTACTTGGGAAAAGAGACAGGCATCCGCCTTGCTCCAATCTCCTTTCAGGTAGTTGTAGAGAGTGATAAGGTACCCCCTGAGCCTTCTCTTCTCCAGGCTAAACAACCCCTAGTTCCCTCAGCTGCTCTTTACAGAACTTGTGCTGTAGACATTTCACCAGCTTCGTTGCCTTTCTCTGGACACAATCCAGCACCTTAGTGTCTTGTAGTGAGGAGCCCAAAACTGAAACTGGTATTCGAGTTTGTTCTCTTTATTGTGGACCATTCTCCTAGACATTGTGCCTATTGAAAATCTCTAAAAGCTTTATTGGCAGTGACAACTTTTCTTCCATGTATACTGATTACTGCTGAGCCAAGACTACAGCTTTTTGTTATTCCACCAGAAACTTCCACAGTTTGCAGCAATATTTCAGCAACAATTGCTTCCCAAATACTAGATACTCAGGCTTTTAGACAAAACAAATATCGTACTGCAAGTTTAGGTTGAGGATCACCATTTCTGACTGCGTGGTTATAAGGTGCCATAACATACTATGCTTATCTTCTTCTGGAAATGTATATATACCTAGTAAACATGCCTATAATGATAATTCCCCCAAAGTAATGTTTTAGGAAATTAGTCAGTACTGGCAGAAGAGAAATTTATGAGGCAATGAGAATCACTTTCCACACTTTAGGTTAAGACTTTATTTTTCCCTTATCTTCTTGAGAGAAGTTGGCAATACTTTTTTAAGAATGTGTGCATTAAATAACTGTCTAACAATAGAAGAACATAAAAATGAGATCAGAGCAATAAAAAGTAATAAAATTTTAAATTTGTTCTTCTACAAGGACAGAGCTGTAGTACTCATGAACTACAATATTAAGTTCATTATTTACCACTAGTATCTGGAAAATATATTAGATGCTTCTGTTGCACATTGAATATTGCAAAGGAATTGAAACACCATATAGAAATTTGTCCAGTAATCATTATACCAGATTTCTAACCAGTCTTTTCTGAAACTACTGGTAGATAGCACCCAGGTTTGAAAAACATATTTCTGGGGGTATAACTATTGCCATAGACATTTGGTATATTAGACATTCAGTAGACTGCTGTGATCAGGGGGCTGGTACTCAGAAATTCCTGCAGATCGGTCAGAAAAAACTTATTTTTCATAACAGATCAGAGTTGCTGTGCCTGCAAATCTCATTCCCATGCAATATAAATCTAGTTTTTATAGAGCTATCTTCTTTAGACTGGTAATTTTCTATGAAAAATAAAACTTTCCCCAAAACTCATGATGGTAACTTTTCCTAAAGCTCCAGAGTTCCAGCAATACCTTCACCAAAGTAGAACAATTACATTCTTTCCACTTAAAGACACAAATAAGCTACTATTTGCACAATTTAGCAACTCTTTAAATATGAAATATGTAGTCTTCTGTAAACAGTCCAGACAACCAGTTATGATCAATAATTGGATTTTGCTACTGACTTGAAAATAGTTACTTCTGACCATTGTGAGCACTTAATATTCATAAATATTTTTCATAAATATGAGACTGACATTTCCCACTATATTCTGTAGCCTGGCAGTAAAGGTACTCCCTGGGTTTTGGATGCAAAATATCTTTCTGAGAAAAGATTCCATCTTGAGCAAGTACATTTAAGAATGCATTATAACAGGAAAACAAAAAATGGAACTGGTCCTAAGGAGATAAAGGCATGTAATTTTCATCTTTATTCCAACACTTACTTTAGAAATGGGAAAACAGTGCTAACAGCTCTGCTAGGAGCTGTTCATCATGTAGCATTTCTGGCTGTCTTTTGTTTTTTTTTCAGGTTTATGTCAACCATGGAGAAAACTAGTCCAGGTGGTGAGGATCAGCCAAGATGAAAATAGAGGCTTAACTGTAAGAAGTTAGCAGGCTGTGTTTCTCACAGAATTACAGAATGGTTGAGGTTGGAAGGGACCTCTGGAGGTCATCTGGTCCAACTCACAGTATCACAGTATCACACAGTATCACAGTATGCTAGAGATTGGAAGGGACCTCGAAAGATCATCTAGTCCAATCCCCCTGCCGGAGCAGGAACACCTCGATAGTGTTACACAGGAATGTGTCCAGGCGGGTTTTGAATGACTCCAGGGAAGGAGACTCCACAACCTCCCTGGGCAGCCTGTTCCAGTGTTCCATCACCCTCACTGAGAAGAAGTTTCTTCTCAAGTTTAAGTGGAACCTCTTGTGTTCCAGTTTGTACCCATTACCCCTTGTCCTATCATTGTTTGCCACTGAGTAGAGCCTGGCTCCATCCTCGTGACACTCCCCCTTTATATATTTATATATACTAATAAGGTCACCCCTCAGTCTCCCCTTCTCCAAAACTCCCTCGCACAAGCCGGGTCATCGATAGCAGGCACATGTCTAGACAGTTTCTGAATATCTACAAGAAAGAAAACTTCACAATCCCTCTGGGAAACTTTTGCTAGTTCTCAGTCACTCTCACAATGAAAAAGCTATGATGTTGTGCTTTATGAGCTCCACAAACTGCAAATTACAGTGCTGCACATAGCTTTTGTAGAAATTATTATACAGTCTGTGCTGGCAGCACAATGTCAGTTTAAAATGGTAATTGGATATAAATATGACTTACAGGGTTCAGCTTATAAGTAATTTTAGTTGCTAATATAAACAAGTATTAAGTAATGATGAAAAAACATTTTGTAGTTACTAAGATTTGATCCTGTTTCTTTTACGTTGTTTCATTTTCTGCTGAGTGTATAATTTTTTTTTATTCCTTTTTTTTTTTTTTCTCTGAAGTAAAATAAAATTTGAATTTTCTGGACTTTTTTCTGAAGCAGTCCATGAATTCCTAATACTTGGTACAATGGACAGTGTGAAACATGTCTGGTATAATGTTACTGGAAAGTTTAGTGCATGGAATAGTATCTAGATACATGTGCCCTTTCCATAAGCCTCATTCATTCTGCTTGCTTCCATGAAATAAGTGATGTGCAATATAATAATTACTAATAACACGCCAATTCAAGATTTTGCTCTGTTATCCTGCCATCTCGTAAAATCAGTTAACACTTACATGCAGCAAACAGGTTCCCATGCATGCTAAGAAGCTTGATAGCTTGTAAAATAGATTCTACACTACACCTGATCTTGGCTGCAATTCAGGGAGGTACTGAGTGATATCTGTTTCCACTGGAGACTAATCTGTTTGTTAGTCTTGCCAGGCTCTGCTCAATTCACTGGAGTTACATGGAGTTCAACTGAAAACTATTGGAATCTTTTACATTCTAAACTAACACACCCAGCAAGTCATTTCAGTACATTTTTCTGTCTAAATGGATTACAGTCACTGGTCCCACATTACTGGAAAATGGCTAAATTTATAGATCGGTGTTAAATTGGTGTTAGGCTGTTAGACATCTTTCTTCTGAGTATGAATTATTGAGGGGGACTGGAATACAAGAGCCATGCAATAACAGGGAAAAAAAACAGGAATAGCTTGGTGATCTGTCTCTGATACAGGGTTATCTGCATTTTTCTTTAAGAGTCACCAGGCAAAACAGGAAATTTGAAAGTATGTTTTTTGTCCACCTTTATACTAGTTTGATGCACACATATATACAGATATATATACAATGCATTGTCAAGTCATCAGTTTGTTTTTAAATTGTTTTGTTTTTTTTTATTAATTTCTGTATACATTTGTCTTCTGATGTATCATCATTGCCCTTCCCTTCTTTTCAC